GGTGCTGAGGCAGTGGGGCCCCAGAGACATGAGGCTCAGCAGGGGCCTGGCTGCCAGCCCCAGCTCCAAGCCTCAGTTTCCCCATTGGTATAATGTGCCCAATGGAGGTTTGCAAAGTGCTCCAGGGCCTTGGCATGGCTGACCCTGACTTTTGGGGGGCAGGGGATGGCATTGGGATTGCCTTGTGCCTCTGCTTCCCCTCAGCCTCCCCCACAGCGGATGCTATGCATAGCTCGGGCATGCACTAGCTGCTGGGAGATACGCCCAGGTGGAGGGGGTGGTTCCTGACACTCGCGTCTCCGGGCAAATGCGTGGGGAGTGATGAGATCTCTTCTCCGATGCCCCGGCCCAGCCCTCTCGGGGCCTGCCAGACCGGTGTGCCCCCGTCGGGCCCAGCCCCTGGGAAGGGGAAGAGGAGAGAGCCCCACCCCAGGCCTCTGCAGACTGCGGGGGCCTGGAGGAAGCTTGGCCTGCCAGGGGATGCCAAGGTTTCAAGTAAAGTAAACGTATGAGGTTGGAAAAGCCTCCACAGTCTCTGGCAGGGCTGTGGAGAGGGTCCCAGCCTGGCGGAGGGGCAGGAGGCCATGAGCAGGGGGATGCTCAGATAGACCAATTCTGCTGGGTGGGACGGTCACCGCTTTCCCGTCTCCCACCCTGCAGCAGCTGGGGGCAGGTGCCGTGGCCTTGGTCTGCTCGCCTGGTCCAGGGCAGAACAGTCCAGCTGTCGAGAGGTGGCAATGTCCCCTCAGCAAACCCCGGGCTGCATGTGGAGCTTGCAGCTTTGCAGCGAGGGACTCCGCACTGTCCCAGACATCCCAGACGGCAGGACCGGCTGCCTTATTGCAGCAGCCTTCCCCAATGAGCCTTTCCTCGGCAGCTGGAGCTCACTCCTGAAGCTGAGGTCCTGACACCCCTGGTGACTACAGTGCCACATTGCCATGAGCAGGTGACAGCTGGAGCCCACTCCTGAAGCTGAGGTCCTGACACCCCTGGCGATCACAGGGTCACATTGCCACGAGCAGGAGACCCTGTGATCAGGTCTCGTCCCTGGTGATGCCCCAGCCAGCCACAGCCTCGCTGGTTTGGGGGTGGCCTGGTTCTGATTAGCAGCCCTCTCTCCTGCTCCTCGTCCCCTGCCAGAAGCCCCTGATCATCTGCATGGCTCTGCTCCGTGACAGGCCTGCTGAAAGATTACATGAAGACAGGTTAGGGGATCTGTCTCCAGGCTGGCTCTGGCTGCAGCCATCACCAATCCATGCCAGGAGCTGAGCTGGGGCTGGGGCAGTGCCCGGAGGGCAACTGGCTGCTGCTCCTGATGGGTGTTCAGCCCTTCCTGGGACCCATTCCCTGAGTCAGTGAAAGGTGGTCTCCCCACCCTGACACCGCCCCGTGGCAGTGGCCCAGACACTGCCCTGTGGCCCAGTGGTCGCCACGCTACTGCAGGGCCCCACTCCAGCCCCGAAGTGGGGTCTGACTTGGCATGGGTCTGTTCCAGGCTTGAGGGGCAGTTGTGCGATGCCCTGGCAGGGTGCCGGCCCCTCTGCATGGGGCAGTGTCTCCCACAGTATCTGGCAAACACTCCTCAGATTTCACTGTTCAGAGCGGTTTGCTCCGTGCCCCCTTCCCCACCTTCCCAGCCAGGGAGCGTGCCAGGTTGGACCATCTGGCAGGACACCACAGCTGAAATGCACACTGCAAAGTGTTGATGGCCCCAGCTGGGAAGCTTGTCAGTCTGCGCTACAGACTTTGTCCTCCGTGCGAGAGCAGATTTGCACAGGGCGACCTTCACGTCCAAGCAAACTAGGTTGGAATTTGGGCACTGGGAGCAGATAAAATGGCATTGAAATGATGGGGAGAGTGACTTGGAAGAATGCAGCACTTCCAGAAACCCGGCTTGTTTGCAGACAACCCGGACAGCCTACCCAGGAGGGACCGGGCAGGTAGCTGGCATGTGAGATGGTTCGTCCAGTCCACGGACCAGACTGCCGACCCAGCCTGACCCTGTCTAGGAGGTCCAGCACACGGCTGGGCTTGCGAGCAGGCGGGATTGCTTACGGAGACTCTCAGGGACTCCTTACTGCTGCAGTTGTAATTTGAATATTATCTCCCCTCTCCTGTCTCCAGTCCTCACACAAGCATCTGGTCCTTCTCTGCCAGGCTCAGTAAACCTCCGGAGAGCCCGTTTACATTACTGATAGCTCGATATGTTCAGTAAGAAGTAATATATCAGCAATATGGTTATTATGGATTAGTTCCCCAGTCATATAATGCTGGTCTTTCTCACCTCGTGTGCAGGCACTAATGGTGGATTATCTGCATGGTTTACATTTGGGGGTTTGTTTCGGGCTCTCAAGTCCCCATTTATCCTGCTAGAATTGCAAACAAATAGGTTTAATGTCATCTTGGACGCCAGGCCAAGGCTGTCCAGGAATCAGCACGGAGCAATTCAGGTTACCCCGGATTCCTCCTGCTGATGGGATAATGGCATAAATCTCTTGAGAGCCTGCGCGTGTTTAGACTGGGAATCGTTTGTCACAACCAGAGCCTAGCAGATGTCTTCACCAGCGTGGAGGCATAATTCATACCCTAGTCCCTGGAAGCTGATGAGTTTTCCTGCTCCATCTGCTTCTGCCTTCCCATTCCTGGTGTAAAACAGACACCAGAAACCTAGGCTGGAGTCTGCAGGGCCTTTGAGGTTCTGAGCAGCGGGGTCTCAGATTCACCTGCCTTTTCCCAGGCCACAGATCTCTGGGGAACATGCCTAGGGCTCCTTCCTCCTGGCACGTGCATGTGCATGTGTATGGGCTGGCATGTCCCCCTGCATGCATGGGGGGCAGTGGGACAGGGCTTTTGCTGCCCTGGGTCCGACCCCAGCCCCCTGCACAGATCCCTGCCTCGGTGAATGCTGTGAGCGGTCCCGCACAGGCCCAGACAGTCTTTACGGAGCAGCTGGCACACAGGCCTCCCAGCGCAGCGCACGCTGCTGTTTACACAAGCGGCTAATTGTTTATGTGAGAATCCCCCGGTGGACGCGGCAGCCGCATCGTAACGACAAGCACGTGGGCAGTGTGGCGCAGCGCGGCTCTCGGGGAAGCCCAGCCGGGAGGTGCCGAGAGGTCGCGGCGCTGCGCTCTCCCCCCTGCCGCCTGCTATGACCGCAGGCGGGGACGTGGGCTATTGCAGCACGCCAGCAGGAGCTGGGCATGCCCTCGCCAGGGAATAACAGCCTCCCACTGCTGCCAGCTAACGGGTGGTCTGTCTGGGTGAGGGCAGCAGATGCCTGTGTGTTGGCGGTGGGGCCTGATCCTGCTGCTGGGCTGTGCTGGGGCAGAGCTGCCTCACCTAACCCCAGCCCTTCTCTCCAGGCTGCTTCTGGGCTCCGAGCTGCCATCGGCCCAGCAGCTCCCTGAAATGGATATCACCCCCTGAAATGGTCATTCCCCCTCAAAAGGATATCACCAGTGTCTTGTTGCCCCTCTCACACTGAGCTCCCAGAGCAGCTGGCCCAGACCCCCTCGGGGCCAATGGGATTGAGACCTCCCCCCACTTGGCTCTGAGACCATTTCCCCATGCCGGCAGCACCAAACGCCCAGTCTGCCGGTCTGCCTGGACCTGCCGGAGACAAGTCCAGAGGCAGGTGATGAACGTCAGAGCTTCCTCCTAGGCCTGACCTGCCATCCCAGGCAAAGCCACTGCTGTCTGCAGACAGGCCAGCTCAGGTCTCCCAGCTTTGCAATGGGAATTGCGGCGCTGAACACTGAGCCCAGGGAGTTTGCCCTTCTCCAGCGCCTTGCACCAAAGGAGCAGGCCCCGAGCCCTGGGACTGCAGAGGAGGGTTGAGGGGACGTGTGCCCGGGAGAGGTGACTCCCTCTCCTCTCCTGGCCGCGTGTGCAGAACAGAAGCCGCCCTGCCTGGGTTTGTCCAGCACAGAGCCAGGGCAGAGCTGGCCAGGCCTCTGCTCCGCTTTCTTCCCAGTCAGTGCGCTGCTACTCACTAGCGATCTCTGTGCTGCTGCAAGCGCCATGTCGGCGAGCTACTGCGGGCTTCCACTGCCTGAGAGGGGCACAGCCTCGTGCAGGCAGGAAACAGCCTCAGCCCAGTGACTCCTCACCATGGCCCGGTGGATCAGCTTTTTTCCCAATTAAAACAGCCTTGGAATCAATGGGACAGTTGCCACCTCATGGCAGCACTTTGAGGGGTGGAAATGTTGAGCCTAAGCTTTCCCGTGGGGGAAGAATCCCAGGAGACCACTGCAACACGTGGGCAGCAGACCTGGGGGATCTTGCTCTGCTGGCCACGCTGGCCTTTGGTTGCAAGTTGGGGCAAATGGAAGTCATGGGGCACTCGCAGCCAGCTCCCGGGATAGCCTGAGCACATGTGGAGGGGGAAGGGGGCAGTGGGGGCTCTCTACACACGATGAAATGCCAGCAGCTGTGATTGTGTCAATGGCCACATTAGGCCACTACCTGTCAAGGATGCCCACACGGCCCGAAACGTCTTTGAGCCTGGCACGGGTCTCGTAACTGCCCAAGGAGCAGGGCCAGGCTGGGTGGCACAGTGCCTCAGCCCAGGCAGGCAGGAGCATGGGGGAGTGCCAGCCTCCCTGCCCACAACCCCATGCCACAGTTGGGCTATTATACCACAGCCCAGAACTGGAAGACTTCATTATGCTGCCAAGCTAATCCTCTGCCCTTTCTCCTCCCAGGTTCTCCGTGTGTGTTCAGAAGCTCCCAGCACCTAGCGCGCCCCACACACGAGCCCCCCCAATGGGCCTGGGCCCAGCCTCCGGCACTCCTTATGGGGTTGACGGCGGAGCCATGTTATCCGCAACCTAAGCTTTCGGGGGCTGACGCTGCGGCTCGTGGATATGGTCCCGTACCCAGTTTCGCCTGCAGACTCACAGCTCTGATCCCGCCTGAGACACATTAGCAGCCACCCACGCACGGGACTGACCCCCCATCACCCTGCCTTCTAGGGGCTGCGGCACTGGAGAGTTACTATGCGGCTTGGACTGTTTGCGGTGGTGGTTTTTCTAAGCTCGATGAATCTAACAGGCAGCAGCAAAGCAGCAAAGGGCAAGAGGCAAAGGCGAAGTACGTATGACGCGCGTGCAGGGAGCGGGAATGCCTCGGCAGGCTCTGGGGTGGGCAAGGGCTGTGTTCTCCACCAGCACATCTGTAGGGGCGCTGGGGATAAGTGTGCAAAGGGCCGTGGCTGTGCAGGGTTATGAGTACCCCTGAGACCCACAACCAGCAGGTCACACTAGCTACAGGCAGCCCTGCCATCCCCGAGCCCGGCTTCCCTTTCCACTGCTCCTCATGGGGATTATTTCTTTGCGTTACCCCCTAGCCAAGCCTTGCCCCCCACTACTCTGCTACCCCCTGAGCCCACAGGGCAGGAGCTAATTTCCCCAGGGCCCTAGCCACAGCCAGGCTCAGCTAAAACAGGGGGCCTCATTCACCCTGGCCCCTGCCTCTGGAGGGACCCCCAGCTCTCCACCTCCCCCTGGACAGGAGCAGGAGGCTGCAGCCAGCTCCCCCGGTTCTTCAGGTCAGCCCTAGGCACAGAGCCAGCATCCATGCTCACCTGCACTGACCACTGGCACAAGCAATAGCACTTTCAGCCTAACCCACCTCTCTGAGAGCAGCATAACCCCCTCCCCTGCATTACATCCCCATGCAGCCCAAAGCTGCCCACCCCTCCTATACAGCCTGCTCAGAGCACATTGGGCCCAGCTGGCAGCATTACTGTCCAGCAATCCCCGGCCTCTCCGGGAAGGTGTATGCACCTGTGCCCAGCCCAGTCCAGCACCACTCCTCAAGCCCTGCTTCTTACAGGGGCCTTGGCACAGCTGGCCCCAACACGAGCATCACCAAGGACCTGCATTTAGCCTCGACAGGTCACTGTGGGGCATTGCTGGGTGGAAGCAGTGGGGCTGGAGGAGTCAAGCCAAGCCCAGGGCTCTGCGTTCTGGTTGCCAAATGGTCTGCAATTAAAGCTGTAGCTGCAGAGTTCCCATCAGAAACACAGCTAGGAAATGCCCGTGGCATGGCCAGCCCAGTGTGTCTCAAGCCCCAGGGCCTTAGACCCAGTGTTCCTATTACACCATGCAGAGAGGTGGCTGAAGGCAGCCGGGCAGCATTCATGCAGAGCCGGCAGGGCCAGGCTGAGGCTGCCTGGCCTGGCAGAGCCACCCCAGGGGATACCCAGAGCTCCAGAGCGGGTCTGGGGTGCCTCTCAGGCCCACACCCTGAATGCAGTGTGATCGGGGGCTCCGGCAGGGCTCCCCGCTGTGTGTGTGCCCTCGTGAGGGCCCAGCTGCACTTGGCGTGAGGAAGGCGGCACTCGGAGTCAGCGCTCTGGCCCAGTCTATGGCACAGCGGAAGGGCCGATTCCTGGCACATGTGGCTGTGCAGTGATGCAGGTCAATGACGGGAGTTGGGGTTTGCTCCGTCTAACCAGGACCACGCCCCCCCCCAAATCTGCTGTCTCTTCCTATGGCCAGCGGGCAGAGAAGCCTCCTCCACCAGAATGCACTGACGTGAATCAGGGCCAGGCAGAGCCCAGGAGGCTGGGCACAGCGGGCCTGGCGATGCAATGATTCGCCTGGTAAAGCCATATGGGTAGCCTGCCCCCAGCCTGCAGAGAACGCTGCCTGCTTCCAGCGTATCTCATTGCAAGCAGGAAGCGTGCAGACTGGCGAGGGGATGTCTGTCGGCCTGCCTGGGGACTGAGAATGCGTCTGTGTGCCAGGTGGTGAGCTCTCCCCTGCTGCCATCCCCGCTGCCCTCTGCCTTGGTCACTCCTTTGGGACATAGGCCCGAGGGTCTGGAGTCATCACTGTGCTGCTCGTTGCCTGCTGACCCAGGGCTGCCGGCTGCAGGGCTGCCCCCTCTCAGCTGCCCCAGACCCGATGCCAGCCAGCCCTAGCAGCCCGACAGTCCTGGAGTGGACCCCCTCTCCCCACAGCAACTGCAACGAGGCTTGGAAAAGCAGCGGGGATGTGCACTCAAGTTCCCTGCTTTGGGGTCCTTTCTTGCACCATGCTCAGCTGGGGGTCAGGGCCAGGGAAGCAGAGAGCCCATCTGCCTCTGCCTGTCTGCCCAGTCCAGCACCCAGCAATGCCACGGAGGAGTGCCCGGCCTCAGAGCCTGGTAGGTGGGGCTCTGGCTCTAAGTCTTTGTGCGTTGGGACGTGGCTTTGCCAGCTGGGGGCCAGGGCCAGGGAAGCAGAGAGCCCATCTGCCCAGTCCAGCACCCAGCAATGCCACGGAGGAGTGCCCGGCCTCAGAGCCTGGTAGGTGGGGCTCTGGCTCTAAGTCTTTGTGCGTTGGGACGTGGCTTTGCCCTGTGCACTGAATTCCCGGAGGAAGGGGGTTGCTTGCTGGGAAGAAGTATACAGCCTTATCTCCAAGGCTCCTCCGAGGCCAACCTCGGCTGGGTGAGCCACTTGCTGGCTGGAAGGGAGCACAGGGGTCCGGACCCCATCCATACACAGCCCTGGTGATGATGGCGCCTTTGTGGGGGAATAAATGAACAACTGCTGCAGTGCCTGGGGGGAAAAGTTTGTGCTGGCCCTGCCCCAGCTGCTGCCTGGCAGCTCCCCTATGCCATGGTGGCACTGCTGTGCTCCAGGCTACCCCTGCCCTTGCCCCAGGTTGGTGCAGGAGAGGATGAACTGGGGTAGAGGGAGGAGATGGGGATGCAGCCAGCCCCAAAAAGCAGGCTGGATAGCACCGGGCAGATAGCACCAGGCATATGAGCATGGTTTATATATACACAAGGCAGCGGTCAAGCCAGGAGGCAGTGGCTCTTCTCAGGTCTGAAGCCAGCAGGCGTTCTGCAGCCGCCCAGCCAGGGCCTTGGAGCTAACCCGTGCGTGTCCTCCTTGTCCCTGCAGTCAGCACCGAGCTGAGCCAGGGCTGCGCAAAGGGCTGCGACCTGTGCTCGGAGTTCAATGGGTGCCTGAAGTGCTCCCCGAAGCTCTTCATCCTGCTGGAGCGCAACGACATCCGGCAGATCGGTATCTGCCTGCCCTCCTGCCCGCTCGGCTACTTCGGCCTGCGCAACCCTGACATGAACAAGTGCATCAGTAAGTGCCCGGGGCTGCGTTGGGGCGTGGGGACGACCTGTGCCGGGCAGCTGCTAGTCGGCAGCTCTCCTGCTTTGCACCGTGGGTGGTCTGAGCAGTGTTCCCCCAGGGGCTGGGGGACATCAGCATCGTGGTGTCCTAGTGGGCGGTGTGGGGTGAGCCCAGTGCAGCCGTCCCCCGGAGACGCAGGTCGTTCAGCTACGTGAGCACCCAGCCAGCAGCTACTCCCTTTGGGGGGTCATGCCCTGCCTCTGGGGGCACAGGCGCCCCCTCTTCCCCGCCCTGTGGTGAACAGGGAGCTGTCAGCCTGGCTCTGCTCGTCCCCTACAAGTGGCTGAGCCCTGGCCAGTGAACTGGGAGAAGGGTTGAGATCATTGCATGCAGCCCAGACTTCCCCCTGAGGGCATCCCACTGGGATACAGATACAGGCACCTGTTGCGTGTGTGATGGCCTCAGCAGAGCGGCTGTGTCTGGCAGCAAGGGGCAGTGGCTGGAGATAGGTTCCCTATATCGGGCACTACCAGGAGCACCTACAGCTTCTGGGGCCAGGAGGGGTCCATCTTGCCCACCCTACCAATTCTTGGTTCCCCCACTGCTGCGCTCCACGGCCTCATGGCCACAGGCTTTGGGCGCCGGTCTTGGCGTCGTTTCTCTCTCTCTCCCTCTTTGCTCCCCCCAGAATGCAAGATTGAGAACTGTGAGTCCTGCTTCAGCCGCAACTTTTGCACAAAATGTAAGGAGGGTTTGTACTTGCACAAAGGGAGGTGCTACATCACCTGCCCCGACGGCTATGCTGCCGCCAACGGGACCATGGAATGCAGCAGTCCTGGTAAGTGCCCCTGGCTGGTTTTTGGGTCCCGTGGCCTCCAGGTTTAGCTTGCCCACGTGCACTCGGACCTGCTGTCACCTGCACCTGCCGCGTGATAGGGATGTCCTGGTACAGCCATGATGTGCTGGGATGCACGGGTCAGCGGCATGCTGCTTGACTGCAGTGAAAGCAAGAAGCATCCATTAGCTTATGAGCTGTAGCCTGCTCCATTATGTCTGACCTGGACGTGTCCATGGGGCTCTGCCACAGCCAGGAGCTCACAGCTCCATGGTCCAAAAGGTGTCCCTTTCCTACAAGGGCACTGCTGGAAATGGCTGCAGTTTCCAGGCTTTGCTCCCGGGCGTGAGGGAGTTTCCTCACAACCCTCCCAGCATGGGCTGGGTTTTGCTTGTCAGAGATGCCTCTCAGCCCCTGACTAGGGCTCTGCTGTGCTGGCAAGACCAGGCAGAAAAGAATCTGACGGTTCAGTTGTTTTCCAGCGGTTGCATATTTGCATCTGAAAAGAAACTCGGGGGTTGAGGTCTGCGGGGAGCCTGCCCCGGCAGTGTAATTAGCAGTTGCAGAACGTGCCATCAGCTCTGGGTCATGGTGAGGCATAGCTGTGGCTTAGAGAGGCCAGCAAACCCTGCAGAGGATGAGGCCGGGGGCAGCGGTATCCCAGGGAGCGAGGTGCATGGCAAAGCCCTCTGGGGTGGGGCGGCCACAGTTCAGAGCTCACCCTGGGCCCAAATGCAGGCCCTGCATCTCGCCTAGCCTGCACACTGGCGCAGGATGCGGTCTCACAAGACACTCTCCTGCTTCATGCCTGTAGGCAAGAAATGCTGGCAGCTGCCTCCTGCTGCCCAGTTTTGCTGGAAAGCCTGGCCTGTCATGGGCTGGCCCCTTTGGATGGAGGGCAGGGATCACAGGGGCTATGGCTGGCCCGCAGCGGTCTGCCCAGCGCCTGAGGCTCCGTCCTGGAGCTCTGTGGAGTGCAGCCATCTCCAGGGATGCAAGGCTGTTCCACGGGATCCAGAGAGGGGCAGGCAGGGGTGAGGGGATGGATCTCCCAGCCTCTCGTGTCGTGTCCCCCAGCAGCACAATGTGAAATGAGTGAGTGGGGCCCCTGGGGCCCATGCTCCAAGAAGAGGAAGGTGTGCGGCTTCAAGAAGGGCAACCAGGACCGAACGCGGAGGATCCTACAGGCACCCGCCGGGGACGTGTCCATGTGTCCCGCCACCACCGAGGTCCGAAGGTGCACGGTGCAGAAGAGCCAGTGCCCTGAGGGTAAGCTCCTGCCGCAGCATTTTGCTGTCTCTGCTGGGGCCCCGTTTTATCTGGGTTTAATGCTCCCCAGTTGCCCCCCAGAAGGTGCCTGCTTCCTGCTGTACCTCCCTGGCTGGGTCCCTGAGCCAACCTGTGCAAGGTGTGATCCATTGCCAGCGGATTTCCAGCTCTGCTTATGTAGTCCAGCGCAGACCATGCATATGCAGGGCCAGAACGCAGCACCTGGTGGAAACCTGGAAGGAGGCCTCAGGCAGCTTGTCTCCTAACAGGATTAAGAGAACTAGCAGCCTTGGGATGCTGCTCACTGCGCCTGCTGTGCACTCACTTTCGTAGCCCATTAGCGTCTGCGCCAGAGACAGAGAGCAGAGCAGAGGGCTGGCTGGCTGAGCCAGTGCTTGATGCAACAGCTGGAGCATTTGTCTCCTCTCGCACCCTCAGCGGAAGGCGATGGTCTGGGTCATTTTGGGGGGTGGTATGCAGCTGGGGGCTTGCTCATTCCCTTGGCCGCTGAAGCCAGACTGCAGTTGTGCTGGCTGCTTGCGGGGAAATTAGTTCTGAACAGCGTCTAGCGATGCAGAGACAGAGCAGCCAAGGGGAAGGTGGAAAGGCCAATGCTGGCTCTCGGCAGCTGCGGTGCACAGGGTGTATTGTCCAGCAAGTCAGGGGCCTGGTCTGGAGCAATGAGATGTGTCAAGTGTCCTGAAAATCACACTGCTGCGTCCAGATTTCAGCTGCCTCCCGTCATTGGAGCAGCAGTGCTGAAGGTGGACTGTAGGAAAGGCCAGCACCCTCCTCTGAGCCCAGGTGCACAGGCTCCGAGCAGCCAGGCTGAGATCGCCCAGCAATGGGAAAATGAACCCAGCAGCAGAGGGGAGAGGCCGGGAGCTGTGTCCCCATTGCTCTGCTCATGGGGACTGCACCTTTTCCTGCTGCATGGCAGGGAGGGTTGCAGGGGTGGCCACCAGCTCTTCCCAGGGCAGCGGCAGCTCTCCTGAGCCACCTGTTGCCCAGAGAGCTTCATTGCTGCCCCCTTGTTACACTGCAGGGAAAAGGAAGAGAAAGGAAGAGCTAAGGCAAATGGGAACAGGAACCAGAAAGACACCAAAGATGCCAAGTCCGGCCCCAAAAGGAGGAAAGGCAAGCAGAAGGGCACCATGGTTCCCATGACGTCGGCTAGCCCGGTCCAATAGCTGCCCCTTTGCAGGCGCACGATGGCAAGATTCGTTGCTGCTATGTATATGAAAGCTTTATCAAACCGGAGCACTGCGACGCAACACCCCCTGCCAGGCCAGCAGAGATGGACAGACACCCCTACACACCCACGGAGCGGCCCCCCAGACATGGGACCCACATGCCCTGCGACTCCCCACCATGCACGCAGATGCAGCACAGGACTGCAGGGTGCAAACTGCTAAGGGGAGGAGTAAGGGAACCCCCACGGCTTTAGCAGCGGGCACTGGGGCACGCGGCGTGGAGGGCAGCGGGGCGTGCATCCACAGGACAGCGTCTCACTGGGCAGTCAGCCGCGCAAGCCCAGGACAGCGCGGCCCCAGCCAGAGGGCTGAGACTGGGACTGGCCGGCTACTCCCCTGAGCCCTGGACTCTGGGGTGGCTGGAGGCAGTGGCCTGCCCCTCTCTTCCCTCCTCCCTTTTGTGTTCTGACCTGTATGACTTCTTCGTGGAGAATACCGGTTACACGTCTGTGGTACAAGTCAGCGGCAGCTGCCCTGACACTGTTTCCAAACTTTATTTCAAATTAAAATAGAGGAAAATAACCCAACGCCCCCAGTTTCTGCGCGCGTGGCTAGTAACCGCCGGCCCTGGCCAGGCTGGAGCCCAGGGGGCAAGGACTTGCTTGTGCATGGAGAAACTTGTCAGAGCTATAAGAAAACCCCAGGCCAGGCTGCCAGCTGCATCCTAGGCACAGACCAGTGGTAATTCCCCATAAGCCTCCCAGTTCCACTGAGACCCTGGGGAATCTCCCATTCAAGCCTCTAGTTACCAGGCGACAATTTGAGGTGGGACAAGCGCTGTCCCTGGCCGCCCTTCTCACCCGAGGAGAGGTCACTGCTGGGCAGAGGCACTGGCACCAGGCCTGTGCCCACAGTGTGCAGAGGGGCACTGCCCTCCCAGGGCTGGCTCTGCTTCTGGTAGGGACAGCGGCACTTGGATTGCACCTGGAAGCCCACGCAGCTGCTGCTCCAGGAAAAACTGAACTCTCTTCTTTGAGAACTGTCTCTCCGCTGCGGCGCAACTCTGGCTGAGTGCAGCACACGGGATCCGCAGGGCCGTCCCACCCTCTCTTTGCTGGGCTTGCTGATGGTGGGGCCTGGGCACCTGTGAGCTGCTTGGTGTGTGAGTACCCACGGGGCTGTTCGCAGGGATCCTGAGTCGGCGGGATGAGAAACGAGCAGCCTCCCAAGCCAAGGGTGAGACAGGGTCCCAAAACCCGGCCTTTGAACTGGCTAGGGACCACATGCAGCTGCCTCTTCTTCCTTGCCCTGCCCTTTGCAGCATGCCTGGGGGAGAGGCAGTTCCTTGCGGCCTAGCACTATGCAGCGGGGCCCTTTCCCCTTGCGCAGGCAGCAGCAGAGGGCACCGACCCTTCCCTGGTCTCCCTCTGCTCGTTTGCAAGCCTGGTCATTGTCTCACACACTCATGCACCTGCTACAGGATCCCCGCCCGCAGCCCAGGCTCAGAGCAGCGAGTGCCGTGAGATCTCCCTGACCCGACAGGGCTCCTTACGATGATACACTCGAATATTAGCACCAATATTTCAAAACAGAGCTGCGCCTCAATAAACCAGCCAAGCACATGTGTGCAGTTGCTTCTTTCTCAAATCCTTCTTGCTATCCAGGGGGTAAAAACAGTCTCTGTGCTGAGGACCAGGGCACTTACCTCCTATTTTGTAATCTCCAGTATAAGCCCTGTGCTTGCCCTGTGCTCAAGCAGATTTCCCCCCAGGTCTGGTAATTGGAGAGGGGACCCTCCGTCTCCGGCTATTGGCAAATGTTCCCGATGCCGTCTGTCACATTGCTTTGAAAACAAGCCACCTCTTTTTTTCTTTTAAGTAAGAAATGATGTTACTAATTCAAAACAGATATGTGACACTTAGTCCAATTCGCACCGAGCTGGTTAAACCGTCCCAGCCTCGCACACAGAGCTGGGAGGAGCCGACCATCCGAGCAGCACACGGAGGCAGCTCTGGCACCAAAGGTTTGGTCTGAACCCACTTAAAGATGGAAGACATCGGTCAGAGAAAAAAGGCCTTTTGTCCTTTGGTTTAAAACTCATTTTTCAGACTCTTTTTTTTTTCAGAAGACTCTGACAACCTTTCTGTTTTGGGTGTCTTTTCTTTCCGCTTTTCTCTCTTTTTTCGGGCAAAATAGAGAAGGGAGAAAGAGGCAAGAAAAGGGAAACTCTGGGCAATCCCAGGCAAACCAATACTGCAGGTAGCTGTAAGGTCCCAGCACACCGATGCTTTCACATCCTGATCCCACACCCCTGCGAACTCTTGTTTCTCGCACTGAACCAATCTTTGGAGACTTGCACACATGTCAAGATAATGGGCAGGTTTCTATTGTAGATTTGCCTGATGGCTCCCAGATACCTTGCTTATCCTGTGGGTAGTGCTTCTCAGTCGTGACGGAAACCAAAGAAGAAGGAATAAATATCCAGTGCTTACAATACTCCATTTGGGAAACATTTAATTTTTAACTCGTTTGCTGAGATTTGGGGCTGTGGGCAGATAGATGTCACCATGCATAGACCAGTTTTAAATGGTATGCTTTCTTCCCATGTGTTTAATGTAAATCCAGATATTCACAAGCCACAGGCAGGTTTAATGGGTGCATACACAGAATCCTCAAATTTACAAGTCTTCGACTCCCATAGAAAAGCAGGGAATGTATGTATATTTTTAGCTCATGTTTATGTTGAAGAGATTTTTCACTCAGAAGAAATCCTAGCCTTGGGTTAAAGAAGGATATTAGGATGATGTGATAGATAATATAATCCAAATAAGAGCATTAAATAGAACCTAAGGATGTCAGAGAGGAGATTTTTTTATAAGTTTATTAAATCAAGGAGGTTGAGGCATAACACTTAAAAAATCTCCATTCAAACTACAGAAGTCTCATCTTTACAACCGCTCACCACAAATAAATCACTCTGATGGCATTTATATACAGGATAATATATTATGCCCGACTGAATACCACACTACAGTTCAGATGGAGCAGGCTGCTAGAACTGCAATTGTTTCCGAAGAGCAACATAACCCTGCTGAAAAATAACCCGCAGTCTGGGAGTCCAGGTAGGTTATCTATTATTATTTACACCCAGTGCAAGGAGGATACTTCCTGCCATCCATCATGCACATGGACAGTGTGTTCAGGGGTGCGATTGGTGCACACTGCATGGGGCACGTGAAATCACAGGATACAGATTGCTAAAACCTAAAATGCGGCAGATGTTCTTTGCAGCCTGCTGGAAGAAAAATCATAATTTCTGCCTAAGAAATTCAGATCATAAATGTCCTCCTGCCTCCCTTTGTTTTTAGAGAGAGGATTTATATGCAGAAATGTTATCCTCTGGATTCCCAATGAATCTGTTACAGGTATGATAAACTGCATGGGTCCAATTCACACCACTGGTGTCACTCGGTGCAGTAATGCAGGAGTCAATCACTGAGCAGAAATCTAAGCCCACTGCCCGGGATCACGGCTAGGACCCCAAGGGCTCAGTTCACACCTGCATCAGGTATGTTCAACTCCCTAAGTCAGCCGTTACTTCTTCTCACTCTGCTGCCTTCACTTCACCTCGTTCTTTCCTCCTTTGCATCACTGTTTGCGACTGCAACTTTGGGAACAAGACATCGCAGGCTGAGAGAGCTGGGTCACTCTGTTCAGGAGTCACTAAACCTGGACCCTGCTGCTGAGAACGCCCTGTCTCCTCCTTTTACCCATTTCATCCTCCAAGGTGACAGATTCATCGTTGTGGAGGAGCCGAGCTGCTGGAAGAAGCAGCGGCAGTCGGGTATCTGGTATTTTCTAGCAGTCCCTTAGAGGGTCTTGTTGAAGTCTAGCAGTGAAATGTCTTCTACGGGGAACCAGTGGACTGAGCAGAAGAGGAGAGCTGGTGTCACCCTTATTGTAACAGCATAAAACTAACAAATATATTGTAGCTCTGCACTTTGCTAGAGAAGTGCTTTTTAGGAGAAATGAGTCTTTTAGTGAAGCCCTTGTAATCTAATTTTTCTCCCCATTTAATTGTCGAAACCTGTCAGTCACAGGAAGCAGATGAGGTGATCCACTGCAGACAACCTCTGCCAAAAATCAGTCAACGCTGGTTCTTTCAATGGAACGAGAAGAGCCCTTTTCAACACGTGTCATTGTGGCAATGAATCATTCCAACGGCATCACACAACCCCATTCACCGGGGTGCTGGCAAGGAAGGGGGCGACCAGGCTTCAACATCACTAAACATCAACAGCTGTCAGGCCAGTCTGGTCGGTGACATTAAGGGGGTCTGGCAGATGTGACTGGCCTGGCCAGCAGTCCTGGCCAAGCCTCTCTGATTTGGGAACTATTGCAGGCAATGCACCGCTGTGCTCGTTTGAGAAAATGCAGAGTCGAAACTCTGAGCACAGGGAGTGTCAATGCACAGGTCAACAGAGCGGGTTCTATAAAGCAGAAATAGCTGGATCACTTGTTGCTAGAGATTTCGGTCCAGCTACCTCAGATGCTTTCATTCTTTCCAGCCAGGACAAGCTTGGGGATTATTCCTGCCCTGGCTTCAGTAGGGTTGCCAACCCTCCAGGAATTAGAGAGAAATCTCCAGGAGACTGCTGAGAGTCACCCGGGAGATAAATGATAGGGCGTTCATTAAAATAAATAATAAATGTTCGATCGGACTTATACAGTTGTCCAGTGGGTTTTTAAAATGTAATCGTCATGTGCATTTGCCTGGTATGGAAAACTTTAGCTAACTAGCTCCCTAGATGGATAGTTGCTTAGGGGCTAAAATGAGATATTGTGTTCTGAAGATGAAGAAAAAAATGAATAAATGCTAGCTTCTCTGGGGAAGAATACTCAGTTTGTCTGGATGTGAATGGAAGAGCTGCCCAATCTCAAGCCTGGGAAGGGTGGCACTGGGATGTCTATGCACCAGCAGAAATGATCCCAGCAAAATAACCCAGAGACACTATGCACTTAGCAGGCACTTCAGCCAGGAGGTCTCTATGACATAAGCTCCATTTCTGAACCTAGCTTTTTGTATCCTTTACAAAGAAGATGACATTGATTTTCTGGATGTGTCCCAAGATTTTTTATTTTAACAACAAAAAGAGTGTTTTCCTAAGGAAAAGGGAAAGGATTGAGGGGAGAGCAGGGCAAGTCAACTATTTAGTCTAAGAAATTGAAAATCAAAAGGATCCTCTGACACATTGGTATCAACTCTAATAGAAAACATGCCGGTCCTAGGAAAACTCTTCCACATCAGCCGGCAGTCTGATAACTTAAACAATTATCTACAATTTGGAATGATTTTTTTCAAAATTCCCACATCAATGTGTGTTTTCAAAATGCTCCAGGCACAGATAATTCCACCAAGACAGCGGAATCAGAAATGCCAGGATTATCCAAAACAGACTGAAAATTAGAAGCCATTAGCATTGTTTTACAAATCACTTCTGAGCTCTTTGTGCATTCAAATGACTTCATGCCAGAGGGACGAAACATTATCTAAAAGCACAGGGCTGCAAGTCTTAGAA